CTGAAATAAACAAAAAACACGTTCAAAGAAAGAAACCATAAACAAAAAACACAAAGTAAGAAATGGGGTGAGATCACCATGCATAGGGCACATACCTTGCCTCGAAAAACTTAATGCAACTAACTTGCATCAAAACGTGAATGTTTCCATGTTTTGACTTGTTTCTGTCTTAAAGCCGAAGCTTTAAACTTTTTAATGATGTCAATTTTTATATTGTGGTGATAAAATTCCATGGTGAATTCTAGGGAAGAGTCTATTACTTAACCAGTCAGGCAGTTCGGAAAAACAAATTCCGGTATGACTCTAGATTATGTAATTGGAGAGGGAAGGCCTAACCCGATTGAATTGAATGACCTAATAGTTTACGTGTTTTTCATATAGATGTTGTAAAATCCTTTTTAGTCTAGGTATCATTAAGTAAGGCAATTATTTGAACTTAGGTAAGGAAACTGCTTATATAATTTTAAAAAAGCACAAATATAAATTAATGGAATGGAATTAAGAATATTAAAGAATGGATTAAAATAGCTAAAAAAAAAACCCTGTCCGCATCCACCAATCAACAAAGGAATCTAAAAATTAAAAAATAACAATAACCCCAATCTCACCCCCGAAAACTAAACAAAGGCAGTTTAGAACTTGGTTATCAATTTCAAGCAGGTATATAAGGGAGTCCATTTGTTTCTTTCTGGCACGTTGTATCATCTTTGTAAAAAAAACGAGGGGAGGAGGGGAAGAAAACAAAGGCAACTTGCTTAAAATAACTTTGATCAATCTTGATAAACCAACAAAAGAAAAAAAGAAGGGGGGGGGGGCAAACTCGAAAATCTTTTGTTGTGTGTATGTGTGTGTGTGGGGTGGGGTGGGGGGTGGGGGGGGGGTTAAGGTTAAGACTTCTTTCACAGCAAAATAATGTTTATACTTATTCATACACATTTGCCTAGTTTGCCTATACTGCCAAAAAAAAAAGTGGTGGGCTAGGCAGCTTTTCAACGAACATTTTAAACAGTAAAAGGATGTGTCCCCTCCCCGCCCCATGATATACTATGACCCTGTACATGTATTTATTAAGGAAACGGAACAAAAATACTAGTACATCTGATTTACACATGAAATAAACATAAAATATAACTGAAAGTAACGGTTAAGCAGAACATAAACGGTCACTTTCATAGCTATCCCAGGTTGGTTAAATCCTTATCCAATCTGGAAGGAATAAAAACCATTTGCTAAGAACATAATCCGCTCAGGTAGAAACATTATCAAGTAACTTTTAGGCAGAAACATGAACAAGTCAGTGAAGAACCTAACCCAGTAAGGCAGAATCATAAACAGTCAGTTAAGAACCTAGGCAGGAACATAGAACTGTCAGTTTAGAACCTAACCCAGTCAGGCAGAAACCTAACCCACTCAGGCAGACTTATAAAACAGTCAGTTTAAAACCTAACCCAGTCAGGCAGAAACCGAACCCACTCAGGCAGAGTCATACAACAGTCAGTTTAGAACCTAACCACTCAGGTAGAAACCTTACCCACTTAGGCAGAGTCATAAAACAGTCAGTTTAGAACCTAACCACTCAGGCAGAATCATAAAACAGTCAGTTTAGAACCTAACCACTCAGGTAGAAACCAAACCCACTCAGGCAGAGTCATAAAACAGTCAGTTTAGATCCTAACCACTCAGGCAGAGTCATAAAACAGTCAGTTTAGAACCTAACCACTCAGGCAGAAACCTTATCCACTCAGGCAGAGTCATAATACAGTCAGTTTAGAACCTAACCACTCAGGCAGAAACCTTATCCACTCAGGCAGAGTCATAAAACAGTCAGTTTAGAACCTAACCACTCAGGCAGAATCATAAAACAGTCAGTTTAGAACCTAACCACTCAGGCAGAAACCAAACCCACTCAGGCAGAGTCATAAAACAGTCAGTTTAGAACCTAACCACTCAGGTAGAAACCTTACCCACTCAGGCAGAGTCATAAAACAGTCAGTTTAGAACCTAAACACTCAGGCAGAATCATAAAACAGTCAGTTTAGAACCTAACCACTCAGGTAGAAACCAAACCCACTCAGGCAGAGTCATAAAACAGTCAGTTAAGAACCTAACCACTCAGGCAGAGTCATAAAACAGTCAGTTTAGAACCTAACCACTCAGGCAGAAACCTTACCCACTCAGGCAGAGTCATAAAACAGTCAGTTTAGAACCTAACCACTCAGGCAGAAACCTTACCCACTCAGGAAGGGTCATAAAACAGTCAGTTTAGAACCTAACCACTCAGGCAGAATTAAAACAGTCAATTTAGAACCTAACCCAGTCAGGCGGAAACCTAACCCAATCAGATAAGTAGTGTCTGGAGTATAAATATCAAAATACTAGTATATCATTGAATAAACAACTGGTTCTTTATATGCAACAATTGGTCTTGTTAAAGCTGAACACAACTCTTAAATAGGCTTAATTAAGCCATATTATTTTTCTTGTTTCCTATGTCAGCACTGGAACCCACACCTGACTAATTTAACCTGGTCACTGTTGGGTGTAGTGCATGTATTTTTTGTTTACATTTTGTTTTATTGAGGGTGCATTCATGTTTATTTTACTTTGTAATGCATTGACCAGTGCAACTGACATCAAATATCTTTGGTAATTATTTTTCTTGAAATGGCAGAGGCACACAGATGTCATTTCTGTAGTGCCCAAGTCCATCATAATGACATGAAAGAGATGTCTGTTCAGGTAAACTCTGTGAAGCTAAATACATTGAACATGTTTTCTGTGCTTTCTACATCTTTATTCTTAAATTCTCCCATATCATTCTTGAGGTGTTGATTTCTCAAAGTTCAATTTTCACCATTTAAGGACAGTGCAATTATAGACTTACTCTGTTGTCCAATCCACTCAGTATATTTGTATTTTATATTTCACTTTATAATCACAATTCGTGTGTATAAAAAGGAAGTTTTTTTTTTTTAAATCACCACCTTTTTCTTTAATTTGAACTGAAAATGAACACAAGAAAATCTACAGAAGTTCATAACTTTATTGCTTTCAATCCGTTTTGTATTCTCTGTGTACATTACTACATCATTCATCAAGTGAATTATAAAGGCCTAAAACAATGAAATTACAGTCAAACTTTGATACCTCGGACTCAACAGAACCGAGAAGAAACTTGGAGGAATTGAGAGACCAATGATGAAATATAAATACAAAAAAGTGACTGAAACTTCCAAATCACTTTGAATTATCCATGGTATTTGAGATATCAGTGTTCAAAATACTGAAGTTCAACTGTACTTAGAGTTCCCTTAATCCCCCAGTCAGGTTCTTAATGAAGCAAAATATAATCTAACAAACATGTAGTAATGTGACTGAGGTTACATCAAATTCTTCAAATAATAAACAACATAATATTAAACAGTTATGGAATGGGTATGAGGAAAATAGCAAATTTATGGTTCCCCAAGGGAGGAAACTATTTCCCGAGGCAGCGAAGCCGCCGAGGGAAACAGTTTCCTACCGAGGGGAACCATAAATTTGATATTTCCCAAGTACCCATTCCATAACTGTTTTATTATACCGAAACAATCATGGGAGATTTATTAAACTAGAGACTCAGACATTTTTAAAAACAATACAGAGGTATTTAAATAATCACAATTGCATGTGATCAAAAATATTGTAAGATAACTAATGCATCAATACTGAGAAAAATAGAATTATTAAAAAAAATATAAAATAATTTCACCGACACTTCGAAGGATTATTGTTGCCTTCATTTTGCTAGAATATTTCAGTATGATTTTGACATCGCATGTCGAAATGTTTTGACGTCATGCTTACATTGCTAATAACATTACGTCACAGACTCGAGATTCCTTGAATGCTCCGCCCACTGTTCATTTTAATTGGTTAAAATTATTAATATTCATGAGGGAGTAGTCCCAGGGAGTAGCTCCGATTTTTCAGGGAGTAGTCCTCAGATGAGGGAAATAGTATCTTCTCAGGGAAATAGACAGTTTTATGGTATTAATTTTATAGAGTAATAACAGTAGAGGTATAATAATAAAATCTACAGCACAATGTTCTCTGTGTACACTTCTAGATCTTTCATTAGAATGGATTATATAGGCCTAAAATCAGTAGAATTTCGTGTTAAATGCTTCAGCCAATTTCCTTGAACAAAGTTGCCCATGTGGCACAGTAGTAAGAGCGTCCGCTCTAGAGTCACAAAGTAAGGAGTTGATCCTTACGTCATGGGTTCGAATCCCACTGTGGGACGTGGATACCAGTCCTTCGGATGAGACTGTATAAACCAAGGTCCTGTGATACAGTAGGTGCTGACACAAAAAAGATCCCTCACTGCTCAATGGCCCCGAGTGCCGAGTATAGGTAAAAATTTGCAGCTCTCCACCAGCAAGTGGTGGCGTCTCCATATCAGTGAAAAATTCTCAAGAGGGACGTTAAACAACAAACAAACAAACAAACGATCAAAGTCTTTATGTACATGAAGATAATTAAATTATGAAAACAGAGCTTCTAACAAAATCTTCTATGAAATATACATGATGTAATACAAGAATTATATCTACAATACAACACACATGCACACATACATCTTTAACAATGATATGCTATACTATATACAGTGTTCAGTTTGTTTTACGATGTAAAGCTAATCTCAGCATCTTCTTAAAAATTATTGACAGGCTGGTTTCTTTCAAGCACTGGCACCAAGTGAAAAGAAGACGTTCACAGTAGGATTTAAACATTAATTAGCCCCAAAAAATGCAGATCAATAAGAGACAAGTATAAATCTAGTACAATAATACTGATTGTGCATCATAAAATGATATACATGTCACTGACATTGAAGAACAATAAATTGCATAAACACAATGAATGTGCTGAAATTTTTAACTACATTTGATTTACAGCGAGTTGGCAATAAATAAACAAAACATTTCACTAAAACATAAAGTCTCAATCAACTTATGGACCAGAATTTTTTTACACTACAATGATTATAAATATAGACTGGTGACTAGAAACCAAAATGTCTTAGATTTATACATAAGACTTATACATAGAATAGTGTAGCTAATCTTTCTGATCAAATTCTACAGCTGCATGCAGAGAATATGACAGATGATTTGGTGACAATAATTGACCTGCATGCCAACACTTTCACTGAAAGGGAGTGAATATTCCCTCGTAAGTGCAAACATGCTATATGTACATTTGCAATGCAACTGATTTGTTGTTTGTGATCTTAGTTAATCATACTTATAAGTTAAATTATAGACATTTCTATTTTAAAACATCTTTTATTCCTGTCCTCATATGTCAGGCCAGTACTGTGGCAAACTAAATTTGTAACAGCTTCCTTTAGTATCACAAATGGAAGGCACTTGTGTCTCATTCTGAAAAAAAGGAAAAATTTCAATATAATAATATTCTCTCTCTCTCTCTCTCTCTCTCTATATATATATATATATTAGGGATGTCAACGAGTACCCCGTTAACTGGGTACTCGATCGAACGTCCGAATATTGAATACTAAAAATGGTACTCGGTTACTCGGATATGTATTTTTTCTTATTTCAATGTACATATTTTTTCAAATCTTATCAAAAAATAACTTAAATATGCATATGGGTAATTAGCGTGTCATCATCTACACATGTAAACACCCAATATAGCCTATGGCTGTGTATATACAGTAATTAGTGACCAATCACCTGATACACAGCTGTTCTCACCTATTGTGGTCCTTAATTTTTTTATGGCTTCCATGATTGTTTTTCAGTGAACATTGTTTAATAAAGTCTATTATCTTCAAATCATTTTTACATAATTTAGTTAATATACGGCAGCGAAATCGGACATGCATAGAAATGCCCCTACCCACTTCAAAATAAGTAAAGATTTAAAAAAAATGTTTAAAGTCAGTTTCCATAGTAAGTTTAGTGTATACGGGGGAAACAACCAACATATGAAAAAATATTAGACTAGCGATCCAAACAACATCCATTCCTTCTCTTTCGATAGTCTAATCATCACAAATCTGCATAACAGATTGTCCTCCTTTTGCATTGATGAAATAGATCCTAAACAAGAACTGTAAACTATCTGTAATTTTGATGTATTAATTGCGTCATTTGTGTTAATTTAATAAATAAATTTAGTACCAAAAATCATTTCTGTTGGACTCCATGTCTCCATGTTTACATACATTCATAAAAAGCGATAAAAACAGCTTTGGGGTTTAACAAATTAACAATTAAAAATTAACAAACTTGTATTTATATATATATATATATATATATATATATATATATATATATATATATATATATATATATATATATATATATATTTATGTCTGCTTTCCTTTGAGACCCATGGGCGTGAAAAGTTTAAGGACAGAAGACAGACAGACTACAGATAAAATGTGATCGGAAAAGCTCACTTGAGCTTTCAGGTCAGGTGAGCTAAGAAGTATATGTAAGGAAAAGTCCTGAACTTCTATAATTTTCTTGGATGTTCTTAAATAGAACAGGACAGGACATCTACTGCATAAATGTATCAGAAGGAATAAACTTCCAAACTTACCAAGAAAAATCAATCAAGATCCTCTCCAGTTCTTCATTTTCATAGTTAAAAAGAACTCTGCTCCAAAAACTTTAACTTGGGACACCAACACCAATGCTGAGGGTATCACATAAGGTTCCCCAATTTCGTTGAGTTGAGCTAAAAACTAAGATATGACTTTTTGTATTATATTCTATGACATTTCTTGTATAAGTATCTCATTCAATTTCAATTACATCATTTACAATGATATATTATCATAGGTGAATAGCAGAGGGGAATAATTTCTCTCAGTAGAATATAAATTAATGAAGCCCAGTTCAAGCCCTGCCCCAAACCCGGACACTTGACCAAGTGTTCCAAAATTTAAAACATTTGTTAAAAATGCCCTTGCTCAACACAACTTTGTACTCTTTTTGTCTCCTAGTTGCCCAGGAGCATAGATGAAGATTTTCAAAGAAATAACGATGTTCAGATTCCACACAGCCCCACATAAACACCAAAAGACCTGACTCAGGGGGCTATCATTTTCATAACTTTAAAAGAGGTATCCTTGCTCATCATAACCATACCATTCATTTGTCTGCTTAATACCACTAGGTAAAGAAGAAGATATTTAGAAAATTTATGCATTTCACTATCTTATCTAAAGAACACCTAAACACTCTGACCTAGATTGGGCCATGAAATTCACCATTTTGAAAGAGGCACCTTTGCTCATCATAACTATGCTTTTATTTTTGGTTAGCTCAATATCCAGGTGCAGAAATGAAAATTTCCAAAGATATATTGCATATATATATACTTTAATAGGCCCCCAAAACACCAGAACCATTGACCTTGGAGCACCACATTTAACAATTTTAAAAGAAGTTTCTTGCTCATCAAGCACTAAATTCATGTGCTAAATACCCAGTAAAACCTCACCCTGACACCAGAACCCCTGACTTTGGAGCCACTTATACTTAGATTTCTGCTTAATACCCAGGAGCAAAGAAGATTTTCAAAGAAAAACATACCGGCACACAAGCATCAATAAGGCCCCAACTTAACACCAGATCCCCAGGGCCTGGGGCCAAAAATTTTACAATTTAAGTAGAGGTGCCCTTGCTTATTAGAACCGTGCACCTAGTTTACCTGATAAGTTATACAGAGAAGAGAAAGTTTTTAAAAAAGAATTTATCCATTTTCATTATATGATCATTAGAGCTCTGCCCTAACTCCAGAATCCCTAACCCTCCTTCATGAATTTCAAAGTTTTGGTAAGGGCTCAGTGCTTATTACAATCATGCCAACAGTTTGACTGCTAGATGTCCAGGAAATATGATGAAGATTTTGAAAGATAGCACTAATTTTGATGGTTTAAACTCCACCCCTCAGTCCCCAGGGGGAGGGGGGGGGGCTGAAATGAAATTCAAAATTTTTGTACCCCTTCACTTATTAATGCTATTCCAAAATTAGTTGAAATTGGTTCAAAGGTTCAAGAGATAAAGCTTAAAAAAAGACCTATAGTTTATGACCAACAAATGACACACATCCACAGAAAAGTGACTCAGGTGACCTATAAATATATTTCTTTGTACATAACTTGTCTCCTAATGCGGTCTTATCCTATATGGGGGTCATGATTTGCATAAATTTGAAACTGCACTACTTGAGGATCCTTGCTTATTAGACTTCCTTAACAAAGCCAAACCGCTCTTTAGAAAAAAAAAGATTTATAAGTATTTTTCCTATATATATGTATTCCTGTGTCAAATCTTTCCTGATCCTAAATTCTGGGACCACAGTTTGAACAAATTTGAATAGATCTACTCTTTTGTCTAATCCTAACATAAACTCCTTTAGTTGCATGATAGGCTTCTTGATTGTAAACATGACCTTTTATGCACTATAGCTACATATAATCAGTACAATATAAAACAAGAGGTCCATTAGCCACAATGCTCATCTGAGGAATACAACCCTTCTTCATCAACAGATTCTTTTTCCTGTACATATTCCTACTTAAAATTTGATATCATATTGTAGCCCCACCCTTTTCCCAAGAGTCATGATTAACAAACTTGAAATTACACACCCGAGGATGCTTCCATGTAATCATGACTAATCATGACTTTGCTTGAGAAGATTTATACAGATTTTTCCTATATATTTGTAGGTAATACTTTCATCCTCTACTGTGTCCCCACCCTACCCCCAGGCATCATGCTTTGAAAAACTTGAATCTAAAAAAGTTGTTGTGGGTGCTTTATTGTCAATATGACTAATCATGCCTTTGCTGTTCTTAATACAAAATAAGATTTTCCTTATGTATTCCCATGTAAAACTCTGATTGCCCGCACTTGCCCCACCATACTCCCAGGGACATGAATTGTATAAAACTTAATTTATTCTATGTCAGAAAGCTTTTACTTGGGTTTCGTATTTTCAAGCCTAGTGGTTCTTAAGAACATTTGAACGATCATACCAAATTTTTACTGTTTCTTTATTATCTCTGCTGGGAAGAGATGTGGTCCTTCGTCAGAATGAATTTCCTTTACCAAAGCATGCTTTGTACGAAGTTTGTTTGAAATTGACACAGTGGTTCTAGAAAAGAAGGTGAAAATGTGAAAAATTATGAAGGAGATGGACAAATGCACAAATTTTGATCAGAAAGAGCTCACTTGAGCCTCCAGCTGATATGAGTTAATGCTAAATAGAGATGTTAGTGTGAAATAATTAATTCAGGAGGTAATTGAATTAGATCCCTCTTCCTTAAAACTTTGATCATTTTTTGTGGTCCCATCCTACCCCAGGAGATCATGAATTGAACAAACTTCAATCTACACTACCTGAGGATGCTTCCCCCACTTCTGCCCCACTCTACACCCCGTGGTCATGATTTGAGCAAACTTCAACCTACACAACCTGAGGATAATTCAATATAAATATGACTGATCATTAGTTTGCTGTTCTTGAGAAGATTTTTAAAGATAATTCCAATATATTTCTATTTATAAATTTGATCCCCTGTTGTGGCCCCATGGCTAAGCTGTGCTTAAGATGAATATTCTTTAATGAGTTTTCCTATATATACCTATGTAAAAATTGTTCCCCTGTTGTGACCCCGCCCTGAAAAAAAAAAGGCAGAACATTCAAGAACTTAATGAAAATTGTGGACTTCCTGATACCACATCAGAGCGGAAGGCCATGCCAGATATAATAATGCCACCTTCAGTGCCATTGGAAAAACCCCATTCCAAGCTGCCACCAATGTGACTTATACCACAAGTGAAAATGTTACTCAGAGGAAAAATGTTGTGGCAGTGTTGTGTGGGAATAAACTATGCAAGAAAGGCAGACACATGAGAAGCAAAGGAAAGGAAGTTATCTGCCTAAGACACGAAGACTGCACTGCAACCATTCTTCCAGAGGCCACCACTGAAGATGAGAAGAGATGGGCTGCAAAATGGTGAGTTACAAAGTGATGACCGTCCACTAGTCATTTCCCATTTCACCAGTGATGGAGATGGAGCAGCTGCATCTGGTGAATCTGAAAAACAAGGATATGTCATTGAAAACCTTAAAGACTTGCATCATTTCTTTGACTCTCAAAGACAACAGAAGAAATCCAAAACTGCGAAAAATCCAAAACTGTTAAAATGCATGTACAGTATATATCTCAAAGAAAATACTGTAGATCTAAAAGATATCAGCTCTACAATAAAACATAGGTAATCAAAGATTACATAACTCAACTCAATGAATGTTTGTGTAAGGCAAAGTCCCACACTAAACAAATAACCTAGTAGTGTGCATCCCTAGATGCAACATTTATGCAATTTTGTTCTGATAGGGCTTTACAGTTACTTGGGAATGGACTAATCTAAGAACTTTTAACTTGCCAATTATCCAGAAATCCAGCATCTGAAGCAAGTTTGAGAATGTTCATCCCTTGATGCATCATCCTTGCAAGTTCGGTTCAGAAACGCCTTATAGATTCTTGGTAATGGACCTGAACCAAAAACTTTAACCTGGTCACTCATCTGGAATATGTAGATCAAATCAAGCATCTGAAGCAAGTCCAGTAGTGTGCATCCTTAGATGTATCATCCATGCAAGTCGGGTCAAGGTACAGCAAATAGTTACTTTAGAATGATCCTGCTCCAAAAACTTTAACCTGGTCACCCATCTGGAAAACGTAGGTCAGATCCAGTATCCGAAGCTAGCCTGGTAGTGTGCATCCTTAGATGTATCATCCATGCAAGTCTGGTCAACATGGGTCTATAGTTACTTTAGAATGAACCTGTTCTATAAACTTTAACCTGGTCACTCATCTGGAAAATGTAGGTCAGATCCAGCATCTAAAGAAGGGTGGTAGTTAGCATCCTAAGATGTATCATCCATGCAAGTTTGGTCACGATAGGGCTTATAGTTACTTGGAAATGAGACCTGCCCCAAAAACTTTAACCTGCTCCAAAATCTTCAACCTGCTTTAAAAACATTAACCTGGTCATCTTTTAGCTGAAATTGCAGCATCTGAAACCTTGACTGGTACAAAGAAACACACTATAAACATCTTCCATGCAACTCTGATTTATGTAAGGCATAGAAGTGCTGAAAAAGAAAACTGCTGCAAAAACTATAACCTGGGACGCCGGAGGTATCACATAAGCTCCCCCAACTTCTTTGAGGTGAGCTAAAAATCTAAAGACACTTACAGTAAATCAGTAACAGATTCAATATTAAAAAGGAAGTTCTGTGAAAAGGGAGGGGGGAGGGAGGGGAGTGGGGGGCATTGATGCTGTGTATTTAATTTAAATGTATGAATTTTGTAATTAATAAATAATTTGTAAATTTATAGACTATATAATTATTGTTGTTATGTTTTATTATGCACTGATTCTATTCAACTGTGTAAATGGGGAAAATGTGGAAATGTAAATGATGTATAATTGTATGAGTAAAATGTAACATTTTCTTATATGAGAGAGTCCATACATGTAAAAATGTTTTAATTTTATCTTATTAAAATTATTTTAATTAATTATCTTGTTTTTCTTACCTATCTGATGAACACAACAAAGGTTACAGAGGTGATTGGTAGAAATACGGGTGTCAAAACTCTCTGTTGATGACCAGACAGCATACTGCATTGTATATCCGCCATTACTGATCTTAAACATGGGAGACAACACCTGAAATCAGAGAAATTGTAGTCAAAATGAGAGTTACCTGTTACTCTTTAGGTCCGACACAATGAAATAATTTCACTACATGTTACTATATAGCTTCAATTAAATTAATTAATTAACTAAGACTGTAAGCAGATAATCAATGAAAGAGAAAATAAAGATTAATGCTTAAACAAACAAGAGGCCCAAGGGCCTTAACGGTCACCTGAGTACAATACAACAATTTAGAGGATCCATAAACTGATAAATGAAGCTCTGTTGCCCAAAAGCAAGAAAATAGTATGATTTGCATCAACAAAATAATTGGTCTAGTATCTATCTGTCCCCCATTTATCACTATTACCATGCAGAATATCAACAAACTGTCTATTTTTTAACCCCATATTTTTACTTCTCACATTGGCCTCTCTTGGCCTTTGAAGAACAATTAAAAAGGATAAGTTATTTTTGTCTCAATTTTATTCATCTATTATTTCCAAGTCTACCTGGGGCCATGAATTTCACAATTTTGGAAGAGGCATTCTTCCTTATAACCATGCACTTCCTTTGTTTGAAAAATACCCAGGAGTAGGGAAGAAAATTTTGAAAAAATTTATGCATTTTCCCTATATAATCAATAGAGCCCCACCCTTACACTAGAACCCCTGATCCAGGGGCCATGAAATTCACAATTCTGGAAAAGGCAACCATGCTTGTCATAACTATGCACCAAGTTAGTTTATTTAAAATCCAAGAGCAGACAAGATTTTCAAAGAACTAATGCAATTTTACTATATAATCAATAGAGCCCCGCCCTAACACCAGAACCCCTAACCCTGGGGCCATGAAATTCATAATTTCTAAAAAGGCAGCCATGTTCACCATAACTATGTTCTTAAATACTTGATTTAATACCCAGGAGCAGAGAAGAAGATTTTCAAAGAATTAATGCATTTTCACTATATAATCAATATAGCCCCGCCCTAACACCAGAACCCCTAACCCTGGGGCCATGAAATTCACAATTTTGGAAGAGGCACTCTTGCTCATCATAACTATGTACTTAGTTACTTTATTTGATACCCAGGAGCAGAGAAGAAGATTTTCAAAGAATTAATGCATTTTCACTATATAATCAATAGAGCCCCACCCTAACACCAGAACCCCTGACCCTGGGGCCATGAAATTCACAATTTTGGAAGAGGCACTCTTGCTCATCATAACTATGTACTTAGTTATTTTATTTAATACCCAGGAGCAGAGAAGAAGATTTTCAAAGAATTAATGCATTTTCACTACACAATCAATAGAGCCCCGCCCTAATACCAGAACCCCTGACCCTTGGAACATGAAATTCACAAGTTTGGAAGTGGCACTCTTGCTCATCATAACTATGTACTTATTTAGTTTATTTTATATCCAGGAGCAGAGAAGAAGATTTTCAAAGAATTAATGCATTTTCACTATATAATCAATAGAGCCGCAACCTAACACCAGAACCGCTGACCCTTGGGCCATGAAATTCACAATTTTGGAAGAGGCACTCTTGCTCATCATAACTATGTACTTAGTTAGTTTATTTAATATCCAGGAGCAGAGGAGAAGATTTTCAAAGAAATAATGCACTTTCACTAGATGATCTATAAAGCCCCACCCTAGCACCAGAACCCCTGACCCTGGGGCCATGAATTTCACAATTTTGGTAGAGGGCTCAATGCTTATTACAATCATGCTAACAGTTTGACTGCTTGATGTCCAGGAATAAAGAAGAAGATTTTTAAAGATTGCATTAATTTTGGTGGTTTTAGCCCCACCCCTTAGGCCCCAGGGGGGCAGGGACCATGAAATTCAAAATTTTTGTTCCCCTTCACCCATAGAATGCTATATGCCAAATTTGGTTGAAATTGGTTGAGCGGTTTCAGAGAAGAAGCTAAAAATGTTCAAATGTTAACACACATTGCACGATGACAGACAAAAACGGATAGCTATAGGTCACCTGAGTGACTCAGGTGACTTAAAAATTGAGACCAGAAAAAATACACCCTGACAGTAATTAACAGTAAACATATCTACCCTGAAATACACGTAGGCTTCACATGTTAACAAACATACTACACACCATCCAGGATGTTGCACCATGCACACCTAAAAAAAGTTCCCTTTAATTAAGTGGGACAATTCTGCTAAAGATATGATATTCTTAGCTCATGAGTCCAAAATTAATACTGTAGGCCTAAAATAAGATGCCAAAAATGAAAAAATAAAAATAAATTGTCTCTCATTATATATACAACTATAACTGACTAAGTTCATTTTGATTGGCTGTTTCCTTTGAACATACTCACGTCTTGTAATGAAATCTGTATTCATTTCTGAAAATATAAGTGCATAACATCAAAATCACTTTTCTTAAAGTTCTCCTCAGAAGAATATTATCTATGAGTGAAGGCAATGTCTATCATAAATTGAATGTTCTAGTAGTGTGCACATCTACATGCCTTACCATACAAGTTTGGTCTAGTTAGGAATTATAGTTTCTTGGGAATGTCCAAAATAATCATCCTGAAAATAAATGTCTTATCATCCACTTAAGTCAGAAGCATCATCCATGCAACTTTTTGTACAGGTAGAGCTTATAGTTACTTGAAACTTTGGTACTTTGTAAAAGTTTTATGGGCAAGTTCATTCCCAAGTAACTATAAGCTCTACGCTTAAAGTTACTTGGGAATGAACTTGCCCATAAAACTTTTACTGGGATGTCAACACACGCAAAAAATATTCAGTTTACTGCCTTTTGAACATTTGTTGTCACATTGTAGAATTGGTAGTGTTTTCTTTAAATATAATTAATTATTATGCTGAGGAGTGTCCAAGAAATGTAAAACAATGTATTCTCTGGGGGAAAAAGTGATTCTATCACACCATCTAAGTTTGTTGGTATGCCAGTCTAACCTACCAAATGAACCACTTGTAGAAATCTTTATGGATGAGGAATTAGTGTCTTATAGTCATCCTGCCTCCCAATGATGGCATCATCAGAATCTGTCTCCATTCACTGTAATTATGACAAACTATTGCATAATTTTAAGTTGAAAGGAAAGCAAATGATATTTATATGAAATAACAAGATGTGTTTTTGAAACATTGTTGTCCCCTATGGCAGTTCAAGACAAAGGTTTGGATTTTTCAAATTTAGGTTGAGGTCTACAAGGTTAAAGTGAAGAGTTCAAAAAGTGTTTGTATTCAAAGAAAGGTCTTGTCACAACAAATACCATCTTCTCTAGTCAAAGGTTTCTGATCTGCTACTCTCCTTACAAACCCTTGGCATATGGTGCTGTCAAAAGATGGGAAGTACAGTCTAAGCAAAAAGTCTGAATAAGATCTGTTCATCAATTTTTAAAATCTCTTATACAGATAAAATGCAGGAATGTTTTTGAACTCAGTCAAATTAGTTTATCAGCTAAAAGACATGTTCAGGACATACATGTGTATCAAAACATACAAACAAAGTGATTACAGTCTTTTGTCCCTTTTAAGTCTATTTGCTTTAAGGGGAGGGGATGGGTGGGTACTGAATAGCATCTTTTGATTTTATCAAATGACAACTATGTTAACCTACCTTTTCTCATCTTTGCTCCAGCCTTTTCTTTCTACTTGTTTTACCTGGAAAAATGCACAAAATTTTCATTTTAGGTGTTGTACTACATTTTAACATCTTAGAAATTTTATGAAATGGGATCTTTTTTCACAGTTTTCATCAAAAGGGCAGATCTGAAAAAAAATAATGACCTTCTTAAGAGATATATGAACATGTATATGCCTATTATGAAAGCATTTCCATATTCTAAGAAAATAAACCACCAAATACATGTACTTGTTTTTAACAAAAAAATACTGTATAAGTGGAAATCTTAGTGAGATGCCAATTTAGAAATTTACCCCCAAATTTTTAGCAAGAAGTAATTTAAGTGATTTTGTAATATCAAGAGAGAAAGCTATAACAGCCAAAATAGAATAAATTGTTAGCAATATTCAATTTTAGCAATCTCAGTTCCCTCACTAAAAATGCCAAAATTGAATCCTCCCTAAAAATTCTGCTTCTATGGTAATTTGAATTCTCAGAAATTATACTCATTTACAGAATTGCAAATGATTTCTTGCAATGACAAAGAATTTAAAATAAGTATAGACAATTATAAAATACAATAAAAATCTTTGAGTATATCTGGTGCAGTTTTTTGGGGTTATCAAACACATTTTTAAAATTGTTGTTTCATTTGCAAAAATTCCAGTGAAGTAAAATATGAAACTAGGAACATTACTTCATCAACCAAACAATAATAAAAACAAAGGGGGAGTTTCGATAAGGCGGTTTTTCAGCCCCTCACGAAATTTTCTGAAATTTTTTATATTTTGTAGAAAAACTCCTTATCGTCCAAAAAATATGAAAATAATTTATGTGACGCATTTTCCGGTCACGTGATAATTGAAAATTTAAGTATACCCCCTTTCGTATATTTTTGGAGTAGACATTTTTATAGGGGGAAAGTGGATTTTTTAAATCATCAAAATAATAAATGAAATAGGGTAAATATGAATAAAGACATAAATTAACCAATTTCAACAATTTTTTTTACGGAAAATGGTATTTACCTTACGCGAATGTTTTTTTTTAAGGTGCGATATTTTTCTGGTGTGTTAAATGTTACTTTTCTTTAAAAGAGGATGAATTGATCTTATAAAACGTAAACATATATAGAAAGTTTTAACATCATAATTAATCGACAGTTTATATGTAAACTTTACAATCAATATTTAACATTTTCCCATACGAAAAATGCAAATGAAAAGATATATGGACATGAGATAGGTAAACGTAAAAACGTCATATACAGGGATATGCAATACATTTTCATCAATGAGATTATACAACTACATATTTTATAAAAATATACCTTAATATCATAAAATTGAAATTAGAGAAGCTGGGGGGTTGTGGCCATTTTTAGACTATATTGATCTCCTTTAGAAGAAGAGCTCCATATGAAGATATAGAAAATGATCAAATTTTAAAACTAAAATTTTTGAAATTTTTCTTTGCCAAATGATAGTTGACAGCTTAAGATATCATATCTAAAAATTAAAGTTAAATCTGGTGGTTAATTTGTGGTTAATTTGTTGACCCCCCAGCCTCCTTAAATCAAATGTTTTGAAGTAAAAAGATTAAAAAATAAATGCAACTTTATATACATACATGAATAAGAAGTTTATTTAAAAGAATCATATTGCTATGTAAGCCGGTACGTTGTAGGTGCAAGGTAAGAAAAATATTTTATCTGGCAGCCACCACATAATTATTTGGCGGCCACTAGAAAAATATATCTGCCAAATAGCTTTCCTGCGGCCAAAACATAAATAACTGGCAGCGACCAGAAACTTATTTGGCGGCCAACACATAAATAACTAGAAGCAGGCAAGTAAGTTTCTTGCGGTGTAGACATGTAATGTCGTTAAAGGCAGAGATTTTAAGCACCGCCTTTAAAAATACCTGGTCTGTGTACCTCTGTCAATCAAGTGCATTAAGGTACATCATTGGGTGCTACAACTTGATTGGCAAACCACTAAATTTTTTCTGGCAGCCACCAGATATTTCAATGGCAGGCCAGATAATATATTTTTTTTTACCTAGAACCTACCGGCTTCAGTATATTGCAATGTATTTGATAATATGAATAATATTAATTACAGTCAAAAATATTTTATCATGATACATAATATGTGAATAGCCAAATGATGGAAAAATCTATAATACATTGAGTGTTTCCTTTTCATTATGAAACTTAGAAGTATTTGCCTGCATTATGTTTTCAGCATAACTGAGAGAATCCCAGCCAGGACTAATTTCCTATCGCTTCCCCGCTCTCCATAGATACTTAAGTTGCTTCACCAACTCTAGTCACTCCTCATTTAGAGAGTTTTAGAATTCATTATAAATGATTTGCTAGACCAAAGCGCAGTTCGAAATACACGTGTAAATGCCAAAGATATGTGTTTAATCCTTAATCAGGCAGACATATGCGCCTAGACATCCAGACTTAAAACAATCCACGTTCCCTATATGTCAATCACACGGAAATACATGGGCACTTCTCTAGCATGTTGGAGCGTGAATTTCTATACAAGAAAGTCAAAAATATTTGTATTTTTGACTTTCTTGTAACTATGCATGATAAATTACGTTAAGGAATGGACTTGCTTTAAAACTTTTTTGTTCAGTCAGTCAGAAAATGTAAGAAAGTTCCAGCATCTGAACCATGTCTGGTAGTGTGCAATCCTAGATGCATCATCAGTGCAAGTTTGGTTATGATAGGGCTTATAGTCACATAAGAATGAGACACACTTCAAAATCTTTAACCTGCTCTATCATTAAGGAAATGTAGGTCATATCCAGCATCTAAAGCAATCTAATAGTGTGCATCTGTAGATGAATCATGAAGCAAGTCTGATCAACAAGTGCTTACAGCTGCTCTGCTCCAAAAACTTAAACCTGCTTTTAAAACATTTACCTGGACATTCTTTGGCTAAAATCCAGCATTTGAAACCTTACTGGTGACAAGGAAACATGCTAGATCAGGTGACTGTGATTAATATAGGGCATAGATATACTTGAAAAAAAATCTGCTTCAAAAACTTTTACCTGGAACACCGATGCTGACGGTATTACAAAAGCTCCCCCAACTTCGAGGAGGTGAGCTAAAAATGTGACGTTAGCGTTAACGTTATATGTTGGCGACAAAAATAGTATCAAAATGAAGACAGGATCAAAATGTTTTCTACTGTTAATACATGTATAATCGAGAATCTTCTTTAATTCAACAAAATATGCTACTTTTGGCTTAGTATTTTGACACAGAGTCAGATCAAGAAACCAGGAGTTTCTACTTTTAGATATGCATGTTATGCAATTTTCAATTTTTGGATATGAAGTGCACAGGCGACACTCATCATATTTCAAGAAATTAGTGTGCAGAGTATATCTAATTACTGAACAAATTTAGGTGAGTGTCCCTCATGCACTTCATATTCTAAACATCGATTTATAAATGCCACCCTCTTATATTTTCCCATGAGCCTAATGTTAACGAATCTGAGTGTACATCTAAGTATGTATCAGCTACGGTGTTAATTCTTCTCATATTAACTTTTAAAATATAAATAACAAAAGTTAACATATTTATCTTGAATTCTAAACTAGTTTTGAAAAAATAAATTGAAAATTATTTTTAAGAAAAAGTGGGCCGCTGAGCGGCCTTACTGAAACTCCCCCTTTAACATCAAAATTTCAAACTCAGAATGTCTGGATCTAAACTGACTTGTTTTGTTCCAGCTTGACTGGGTTAGGTTTTAACTAGAGTGGGTTTGATTCTAAACTGACTTATTCATGTTCCTGTCTAACTGGATTAGATTTCTACCTGACTGGGTTAGGCTCTAAACTGACAGTTTTATGATTCTGCCTGACTGGGTTAGGTTCTGAACTGACTTGTTCATGTTTCTGCCTGACTAGGTTACATTTTTTCCTGACTGGGATAGGTTCTAAACCGACTGTTTTATGTTAATATCTGACTGGGTAGGTTCTAAACTGACTGTTTCATGATTCTGCCCGACTGGGTTAGGTTCTAAACTGACTGTTTTATGTTTCTGCCTGACTGGGTTAGGTTCTAAACTGACAGTTTCGTGATTCTACCTGACTGGGTTAGGTTCTTAACTGACTTGTTTTTGTTCCTGCCTGACTGGGTTAATTTCTTAACTGACTTGTTCATATTACTGCCTGACTGGGTTATGTTTCTACCTGACTGGGTTAAGTTCTGAACCGACTGTTTTATGCTTCTGAATGGGTTATGTTTCTACCTGACAGGGTTGGGTTTTAAGCTGACTGTTTTCTGATTCTGTCTGACTGGGTCAGGTTCTAAACTGACTTGTTCATGTTCTTGCCTGACTGGGTTAGGTTTCCACCTGGCTGGGTTAAGTTTCTGCCTGACTGGGTTAGGTTCTAAACTGACTGTTTTATGATTCTGCCTGACTGGGTTAGGTTCTAAACTGACTGTTTTATGTTCCTGCCCGAATGGGTTAGGTTCTAAACTGACAGTTTCGTGATTCTACCTGACTGGGTTAGGTTCTTAACTGACTTGTTTATGTTCCTGCCTGACTGGGTTAATTTCTTAACTGACTTGTTCATATTATTGCCTGACTGGGTTATGTTTCTACCTGACTGGGTTAAGTTCTGAACCAACTGTTTTATGTTTCTGACTGGGTTATGTTTCTACCTGACAGGGTTGGGTTTTAAGCTGACTGTTTTCTGATTCTGTCTGACTGGGTCAGGTTCTAAACTGACTTGTTCATGTTCTTGCCCGACTGGGTTAGGGTTCCACCTGGCTGGGTTAAGTTTCTTCCTGACTGGGTTAGGTTCTAAACTGATAGTTTTATGATTCTGCCTGAGTGGGTTAAGTTTCTACCTGACTTGTTTGGGTTCTAAACTGGCTATTTCATGATTCTGCCTGACTGGGTTAGGTTTTAAACTGACTTGTTCTGAACTGAATATTTTATATTCCTGCCTGACTGGGTTAGGTTTCTACCTGACTGGTTTAGGTTCTGAACTCACAGTTTTATGTTTCTGTCTGACTGAATTAGGTTTCTTCCTGACTGGGATAGATTTTAAGCTTACTGTTTCACAATTCTACCTGACTTTGTTAGGTTCTTGACTGACTTATGTTCCTGCCTATCTGGGTTAGGTTCTAAACTGACTGTTTTATGATTCAGTCTGACTGGCATAGGTTCTTAACTGACTTGTTCATATTCCTGCCCGACTGGGTTAAGTTCTAAACTGACTTGTTCATATTACTGCCTGATTGGGTTATCTTTCTACCTGACTGGTTAAGTTCTGAACTGACTGTTTTATGTTTCTGACTGGGTTATGTTTCTGCCTGACTGGGTTGGGTTCTAAACTGACTTGTTCATCTTCCTGCCTGACTGGGTTAGGTTTCTACCTGACAGGGTTAGGTTCTACACCGACTGTTTTATGATTCTGCCTGACTGGATAAGGTTTTTAACTGACGGTTTTATGATCCTGCCGCACTGAGTAAGGTTCTGAACTGACTGTTTCATGACTCTGCCTGACTGAGTTAGGTTCTAAACTGACTGTTTTATGATCTTGCCGCACTGAATAAGGTTCTGAACCGACTGTTTCATGATTCTGCCTAACTGGGTTAGTTTTAAACTGACTTGTTCATGTTCTTGCCCGAGTGGGACAGGCTTCCACTTGACTGGGTTAGGTTTCTGCCTGAATAGGTTAGATTCTAAACTGACAGTTTTATGTTCCTGTTTGACTGGGTTAGGTTTTAAGCTTACTGTTTTACAATTCTACCTCACTGGGTTAGGTTCTTACCTAACTACTACCTAGTCCTTGTTGCACCCGGAGGCACATAGGGCAAGGATTAGGGATTAGGGGTTAGGTTCTTAACTGACTTATGTTCCTGCCTGACTAGGTTAGGTTCTAAACTGACTGTTTTATGATTCAGCCTGACTGGGTTAGGTTTTTAACTGACTTGTTCATGTTCCTGCCTGACTGGGTTAAGTTCTAAACTGACTTGTTCATATTACTGCCTGACTGGGTTATGTTTCTACCTGACTGGGTTAAGATCTGAACTGACTGTTTTATGTTTCTGACTGGATTATGTTTATACCTGACTGAGTTGGGTTTTAAGCTGACTTTTTCTGATTCTGCCTGACTGGATTAGGTTCTAAACTGACTTGTTCATGTTTCTGTCTGACCTGGTTATGTTTAATCCTGACTGGGTTAGGTTCTAAACTGCCAGATTTATGTTTCTACCTGACTGGTTTATTTTTCTACCTGACTGGGTTAGGTTCTTAACTGAATGTTATACAATTCTGCCTGACTGGGTTAGGTTCTAAATTGACTTGTTCATGTTTCTGTCTGACTGGGATAGGTTTCTTCCTGACTGGGTTGGGTTCAAAACTGATAGTTTTATGATTCTGCCTGACAGGGTAATATTTCTGCCTGACTGGGTTTGGTTCTAAACTGACAGTTTCATGATTCAGCTTGACTGGGTTAGGTTCTTAACTGACTTGTTCATGTCCCTGCCTGACTGGGTTAAGTTCTAAACTGTCTTGTACATATTACTGCCTGACTGGGTTATGTTTCTACCTAACTGGGTTAAGTTCTGAACTGACTGTTTCAGTTTCTGACAGGATTAAGTTTCTACCTGACTGGGTTGGGTTTTAAACTGACTGTTTTCTGATTCTGTCTGACTGGATTAGGTTCTAAACAGACTTGTTCATGTTTCTGTCTGACTGAGTTATGTTTAATCCTGACTGGGTTAGGTTCTAAACTGCCAGTTTTATGTTTCTACCTGACTGGCTTAGGTTTCTACCTGACTGGGTAAGGTTTCTACCTGACTGGGTAAGGTTTCTACCTGACTGGGTTAGGTTCTTAACTGAATGTTACGCAATTCTGCCTAGGTTCTAAATTGACTTGTTCATGTTTCTGAACTGACTGTTTTATGATTATACCTAACTGGGTTAGGATGTGAACTGACTGTTTTATGTCCCTGATTGACTGGGTTACATTCCTGACTGGGATAGGTTCTAAAATGAATGTTTTATGATACGCTCCGACTGCGTTAGGTTCTAAACTGACTAATTCATGTTTCTTACTGACTAGGTAATGTATCTTCCTGACTGGGTTAGGTTTTAAACTGAGTGTTTGATGTTTCTACCTCACTGGGTTAGGTTCTAATATGACTGTTTTATGTTCATGCCTGACTGAGTTAAGTTTCTATCCGACAGGGTTAGGTTCTTAACTAACAGTTTTATGATTCTGCCTGACTGGGTAATGTTCTAAACTGACTTATTCAATTTTTAGCCTGAGTGGGTTTTGTTTCTGCATTACTGATTTGGATCTGAACTGACTATTTCACGTTCCTGCCTAAGTGGGTTAGGTTTCTGCCTGACTGGGTTAGGTCCTAAACTGACTGAAGGAAGTCACTTTAAGTCTGGGTAAGCTAGGTTCTAAACTGACTTTATCATGTCCTTCCATGACTGGAATATATGTTGTTCTGAACAAGATTCCTAAATGACCACACTCAAGTTTGAAAGGGGGCATGATCCTTCATTTAAATCTTTACACAAGGATACTCTGTGCCAAATTTGGTTAAAATTAGTTTCAGAGAAGAAGAGGAAATTGTGAAAAGTTAACCAAAAAATCAATGATGTAAATGACTACATGCTACAATCTAATTGAAATTAAATCCTTTGATCAGCTCACATATGATCGCTACACAAAGTGTGTAGGGATCATATGTGAGCAGATCAAAATAACTAATTTTAATTAGATTGCACATGCAATGGACAAATTTGGATCAAAAAAGCTCACCTGTGCCACTGTGCAAAAGGAGGAAGGGGTATTGATGCTGTGTATGTAGTTTATATATGTTCTATTTTTATTACATATTAAAATTATTTTCAACAATTACCTTGTTATTTTACCTGTCCAAAGAACATGACAAAAAAGATAACAGGGTGATTGGTAGAAATATAGGCATACAGGTGTCAAAACTCCCTTTTGGTGAACAGTCTGCATCACTCATTGTTTATCCACCATTAGTGATCTTTAACAGAGGAGACTATGTAGGTTTCACATGTTGACAGTCTACACACCATTGAGTAAACTACATCATTTCCAACTAAAAGAAATCTTTTTTATTCACAATAAATGGATTGAAATATGCTGCTCAAAATAACTTCAAAATATCAATAACTTCCTCATTCAATTTAAAAAAAATCTTATTGAAAATACCAGATCATAAGTTTAGTTTAAGTACACTGCATACTTTCTTGGACGTTAACAAACCTAGATGAAAATGGCAGATAGGCAAGTTCAATTGCTGGTGATCAGATACAAGAAGCTCAGGCAGGTCCAATTGCTGGTGACCAGATACACTTAGTGGTTTGGATTGTGCTGATCGGGATGTCGGCATGGGTGGATTAGAGCAGCTTACAAGCTATGCAGGAGTCCAAGTTTGATTCCCTGTCAATCCTTTCCAGTTATAATATTAAATTAACATATGAAAAAGCATAGATATTAGCGAGCGCAGCGAGCAGCGCAAAGCGCCACTCATCACTGGGAGCTCTAAAAGCAATGCCTGGGCGAAGAGAAAATTCTGACTTTGCAAATTGATCCAAATGAATGTTTTTCCACAGTTACCTGTGGTCCCATAATGCTTTGCGAATTGCTTCTCCCCACAAACAACGTTCTCGCGGTAGCAAGAAGTTCCAAAAAAAATATACACCCACGTTGATTTGATGGATATATAGCAGACAAATAGTAGATTAAAACTTCTTTATTAAAATAAGCCCTGTTCAGATTTTGTTTTGGTAATGCTACTTACAAGCAACGTTATATGACGTCAGAGTCTAGACGTACTAAAAGTCTCGTGCAGTTTGATAACTTTGAAGAGCCTGATCTAAATTAAAACTGAATATAGGTATCTGCGCTCACCCTTACGGTTGCACCGTCAACATATTAAAAATATACAAGACATTGTACGTTCGAAAATGACAAAATAATTCCCCTACTCTCGCACTGAAAGTCTTCAAACTTCTATACATTTCTAATATATATATACACACTTTTGAATAAATTCACTAAATTCTAAAGAAAATAAGGAGCTGTGTAAGAGTGTGGGGTGCTAACTTTATTGAAAAATGAGAGGGGTAGATGTTGATTATATTAGGCCTACGTTTTCTAGTGGGGTTTCTAACATAAACCATAAAAATACACCTCACCCTCCGGCCGCCAGTCCGCTTCTTTTTTCTTATACAATGCACATAACACAGCTCATGGATGTAGCATCAATGTTTCGGTGTATTTTTCTTTGTGACCTCTTCGTTTCTACTTCCGTTTCATTTTCAGTTCTTGCTAATCATGCCAAACGTTATTTCTCCCGCCGCTAAACTAACTTCGGGATCGATGTACTCAGCTACATAATATAAAACTGAAACCATACCGGAATTAATTTTCCCGAACTGCTTGACTGGTTAAGTAATAGACTCTACCGAATTCTAGCTCATTCAAAAAACAAACAAACAAAAGCAAAAAAAGAAATTTTCTCAAAAAAGCATAACACTGCGTCACACTGCGTAACACTGCGATTTCGCTAGAAATTCTTCGAGTATAAGGGTGTCCGATGCATGCTAAACTCATCCTACATGTACTACACGACGCAGCGACCAGCTAAAAGCAATGAGGTGTAACGAATGCAAAAGGTTAATATACCCTAGTGCTGGTGTAGGAGATAAAAAAAATAATATGGTGCAAGCCTTTTTACGAGTCGTGCTCAGCTTTAAGTAAGAGAAACGAATAATATATTACGAATGCTATAAACATTAACTCTTTGTATATACAAGACGCACGGCCCAGTCAGTCGTTATATCAGATTCATAATAATAATTTCATGTATAAGGGATTTCGTATTTTTGTTATAACACAGTACTGTTACACTTCGTAAATGTTTACATCAATTGCACTGCTAGATATGAGCTATTATATTTTTTAATGTAGGCCATGACTGAGTAGCCACATAAAAATCAAAACAATACATAATAATTTACCAGTGTTATCAGCATGTAATCTTGTATATAACACATACATGGGCCCCGTTTAGATTCAGGAATACGGGCTTTTGTATTTTCCTCTCATGCTAATTGTTTTCCACTTCTTTCAACTTGCCACCTAAAATTTCCTTTATCCCTTCTTTTAAACCGTGAACTGGATTTTTTTTCATTTCCTTACTATTATTGATTGATTGATTGTATGTTGTTTTACGTCCCATCCGAGAATTTTTAACTCATATAGAGGCGTCACCATATACCGGTGAAGGGCTTCAAATTTTGACCTTTACTCGGTATTCAGGGCCATTGAACAGTGAGGGATCTTTATCGTGCCAACGTCTGCCGTGACACGGGGCCTTGGTTTTTAAGGTCACATCCGAAGGACCCGCAAATTTCACTTCAAAGTCCGATTTAACACAAACACGAAAAGATCATCCATTGTTTCATATTATTAAAAGGAACTGCCATAATTCCATACGTTGATTTTTTTTATACGTTTAAAACTATTAGGAGCTGTCTTTTTTTCCAAAGCCGAGGCACAGAGCTGTTTGGAATTATTACCCACATGTAGCAAAAACTTCACCAATGCTATACAAGGAGCCGGAAAAGATAAACACAAACTATGCAGGTAAAGAAATCATTTCTTGTAATTAAATTTAAAAAAAAAAAATCAGTGGTAAGTTTTTCGGTAGCGTTAAAAAAAATTAAGGTACCCTGCATATAGACAAATGACATAGGCAAAAACAAAATCAATTGACATAGGTAAGAAACAAATCAATAGAAAAAGAAATTGGTTCTTAACTTTCTTTAAAGACATCAACTGGGGACATAGGACTCAAATGTTACATTCATTATCATCCTGGAAAATGGATGTGTAGGTAAACATGTATTGCCATCATCTGAAGGTGATGATTTCAATAATTTTGTTACAAAACATATACGTGGAGGCTATGGAAGGGAATTACCGCCAAAAGTCTATTTATCTTGCTTTTATTCTTATTCTGCCTACTTCTTTATTCTTTGTTATCATTGTAACTATATGTCACTTTATTGTTTTCATATTCGTCTTTATTATATTTCACTTTGAACTTTTTCATTCTTCATTTCATCCTTACTTCTATGTTGCTTTATTCTTGTAAATACGTTTTTTTTCTTTTAAATTGATACAGTTTCTTTAGTAAATAATTATGATCATCTCTATTACAAATGTAAATTCAGTCACGCAAAGCAAGAAGCGCATTCAACGAAGACGAATACAAGTACTGTAAATTTAATGCAGCATTATAACGCTAGGTGGCAGGGTGTTCGGTGCGAGTGTTGGTAAAATTAGGTACGCAAACCCGGGCCGAGGTTATTCGAGATTTTTCAATTTTCTGCCTTAATACTTTATCAATCGAACCCAAATTTTCAGGTTATGTTAGTTATAGTTTTATTTGTATACACGGTAAAATTGCCCCGAAATGTTCAATATTTTAGATTTTCTCGAAAATATTTGATTTTCAAATTTGTAAAATGGGAAGGCAGTATCGAGCTGACATTTTTAGTAGGCTTTTTTTTTTTGACAAAAAGCTAATTTTATGAATTATTCTGATGTTAAACATTATATTTTAACTATTGATAACTTCTTTCAAATGTGTTTTTGTTGCTTTAAATAACACGTTTTAAGAAAATCTGGGTCATTAAAACCGGACCAATGATGAAAACTCCAAATAATTGTTTTTTCTGTCACCTGAAAAATATACATTGTAACTCTATTCAAGTTATTTGTTGGATGATTGAATTTCAGTTTTATTGATATAAAAAATATGAAATATTTTGATAATTACTAGTATACCCTTATAAATTTAGTTGTTTTTCAGGACCCCTATATATTCTTCCATTGAAATGACATTTCTTTATTTCAGGATAATAATTGTTCATGCGCAGTCGCGTGATTCTGGGGACCGGGGCTAGTCTGGTTTCGGCCAACCCATAATGCTCTGAAAAGTAGTACGGAACGTCATGGGTAGGCGTGGCCGGAACCAGGCTAGACCGGGGCATACTAGTAACTTTCCCCGGTTTTTATGAAAATATGTATTAATTTTTTGTATAGAAATAGCACTTTTCAATAAAGAAATAATATCTCTAGTAAGCACACAGTGTTTGGCATCAGAATAACTCAAAAAATTATTTTGTCAATGTCTCGTTTGGCAAAAAATACGTAAAATGTCGGCTTGATATTGCCTACCCATCTTAGCAAATTGGAAATCAAAAATCGCCAAAAATAATCTTAAATATTGAGATTTTCAAAATATAATTACATGAATATAAATATTGGCAATTTCTACAGCGAATACAAATAAAGTTAAACTTAGAGACGTAGCATTGTTTTTGAAATGGACAGACAGAGAAAAAAAAATAACTCACCTAAAAATCTTGACAAGCAAAAAACAAAAAAACAAAAACAAAAACAAACAAACAAACAAAAACAAACAAAAAACAAAAAAGAGGAAAATTCTTCAAACTCGAAAATTCTATTTGGGCGGAGGGGGGTCCAACTTCTTTCAGTACCAAATTTTACTCATACATCACTATGTACATGGCCCTATTTGACTAAACTGCAACAGAAAGGGGGGGGGGGCAACCAGACTTTCAGTGAACATTTTCAGTAGTAAAAAGTTATGGCTAGAAAAATGTTTGGTGGCCAGTCTGGCTATATAGTGAGACTCCCCCCCCCCGAAGGGGGGGGTGCAATGACTATATAGTGAACCTTCCGCCCTAAACGACCATAGTGACACTTCCCCTTCCGTGTTTGGTTTGGATTTTATTTACATCGACGATGTATATATTGCATATTTAGGTAATGATCTTATATACTTATATATAAAAAAAAAGATGCATAGTTTCAAATGAAACAATATAAAAGAGGAACGACACCGGGTACATTCCTGAACCTATAACAAAAATCATTTAAAAATTTGGAATCGATTGATAAAGTATTAAGGCAGAAAATTGAAAAATCACGAATAACCCCGGCCCGGTGTGCGTACCTAATTTTACCAACACTCGCACCGAACACCCTGCCACCTAGCGTTATAATGCTGCATTAAATTCACAGTACTTGTATTCGTCTTCGTTGAATGCGCTTCATGCTTTGCGTGACTGAATTTACATTTGTAATAGAGATGATCATAATTATTTATTAAAGAAACTATATCAATTTAAAAGAAAAAAGAACGTATTTACAAGAATAAAGCAACATAGAAGTAAGGACAAAATGAAGAATTAAAAAAGTAGAAAGTGAAATGTAATAAAGACGAATATGAAAACAATAAAGTGGCATATAGTTACAATGATAACAAAGGAT